TTTTTTTAAAGGATAGTCCATTTTGATTTTTATGGCGACTTTAAAAACTGACAAGGGTTTAAATGAGACTGTAAACGAAATGCTTATGGTGAGATATAGACAGATAAGATTCTGAGTTAGGATGTTTCTGTAATATGATCCACAAACGGGTCATGTTACACAATTCAAAGCTAGATTCCTATGTTATCTGGTACCCATGGTGATTCTGTTAGAATCATGTCTGTATTTTATGGCCTCTGATCCTAACCTGTCCTGAAAGCTAAGGTCTTGGCTTTTGTAGATCCTCATTATTTATCTCCAACAAACACAAGATTAACAGTCCAAAACCTGTAAACACTTGTAACCTGGCTTTAGCAGCTTAAATAAACCTTGGGAGTCTCTAATGTAAAAGTATCTACCAGCAGCACGATTAATGAAATCATTGTGGTTAACCATAAACAGTAAGCATCTAGCGGTATCAAAACTTCCTCATGATGGATAGCCTCAATTTCCTCCTGTTGTGGTAACAGTGATAAATGGCTTACGTTAAAATCCACTTTTTCCTTGAGAGTCCCATTTAATCAAAATGCCAACTAAGTAATTATAAGCAAATGCTAGTAATAGAATACGAGGTTGATATTGGCTGTCTCAAAACCTAGAGAGCTGCTGCCTAAATAACAGTAGGCTAGCCTACCGGTAATTTTTATTAGCCTACCTGAAATGTCCTTAACCCTGCGTTATCGTGTTCCATATTTCACACTGTAGATTTGTAAGCCATCGTTCTTATTTGCATATTTATCAGGTCAATAACATTGATTGGACAATAATAACCGCTTATCAATTTCGCCATTCAGATCCTCTCAGGTTGTATTTTGTCTTCTAGTCAAGTCACAGCGCTTTGCTTCACATTAATAAACGTGGAAATAATAGCGTTAATATGTTATAAAAACCATCAGTTAAGAAAAAAATGAGTTTCAGCCGTAAAGCAGCTAGCTACAGAAGACAGGTGACTTCTGAAACATTGAAACTAAGTTACACACAGCACGTGAAAGTTTCTGAGACTGGCCAGAGTCCCTGAATAACTTGTAACATTCGAGCACAAGCAGTCCTCTTTCAAAATTACAAGTAGCCTAGGAAACTTTAGCCTACTTAAAAACTAGCTTTTACCAGGGCTTTCAAACTGTTGTCTCTAGGTTGGTAGTAGCCTACTCACTGTGTTTTAGAAATTGGGTTAACAAACTAACCTGGCTTTACAGTCTTCAGACGGAGGGGTTCGCGAAAGTGGCGGATGACAGCGAGGGTGTCTCGGTTTGTCAGTCCGCTGACAGGCGTGCCGTTCACCTCCAGAAGCACATCTCCGGTACCAGGTAGTCTGCCGACATGGCACACTAACGCGTCCGACAACACCTGTCCGAGGTACGGGAACTCTCCGTGCTCGGCTCCCCCGAGTATCTCCAGCACGGCGCTGAGCTCCCCGGCGTTACCCCACGAAACGGCGCATTCCTGCACTTTACCGGACCAATGTTTCTTCTTTTTCAGCGTCTTGGACATGATTAATCCCTTTCGTTAACGAGTCTCTTGAAAACAGGTTATTTCCTTATGCAAAAAGCGTTTAAAGCGCAGTAAAGCACAACGGCTTCATTCCCATGTCTTGGTGAAAAAGATTAGAAAAGGTTTCAAAACTTCAGAGGCGGCATCGCTCGGTTCTTAAAGCATATTCCCTGTACGGTTCAGTCAAAATTCACGTAAATTCATCTGGATTGAGACACGAGCTCAAACGAAGGAAAAAGGGCTCTTCACTGCCTTAAAATCTATGCTAGACCTCACTGCTCACCAAGAAGTGTCGCCAAATATCGTCTTCACGATCCAAACAAACGCTTTCTAGGAGAAAAGGACACGGAAATAGCAATAAACTATACCACCCGAGGCACTGGACAGCCTTTATCCAGGCACATCAAAAAAGAATACAGCCTCGCTTGGTAATACCGGCTGAAGAATGAAACGCCGTAGAAAAACACTCACATCCGTGTGTAATCCCTCGCGATCTAGGGCGACTGTTGTTAACTTGGGTTTCGCGCACCTGTTTCAATGACATCAGCTACCGGCGCGTTCACGGGAAACGACGAACAACAATATACCTGGATCGGGAATACACGACTAACTAGGTCCACTGTCCCACGACATTTGATTCACGTAGAAACGCCCTCTTGTGTGGGTTGTTGTTGTCTGTGTAGAGCTGTCATCGCACGTCGTTGATTTTTGTAGGCGCAGCTTTGCAACTTTATAGATTTTCACCTTGTTACTTGCGCCAAACGAGAGCAGCGACTGTCAGTGGTGCAGAGTGGACGAGAGCAGGGCAGCCAATGAGAGCGAGAGGGCGGGCTTTCCCATACTATTTCACAATACCAAACTTCAAAAGCCTGTCTGCCATGCTTCTAGGGCTGAAAGGTGTTGACTCTGTTGAGAACAAAAATATTTGCTGCCCTTCATCACAGTCTTGAAAATGCCTGATGAAATATATTTTGAAGATAGTTAGTGGTCAAATGTAAATCAAGGGGTTTTCTTGGTAAAACTTTATAACATTTTCATAATAATAATAACATCACTTTATTTGCATAGCACCTTTCATTAAATAAACAATAAAAACTATAAAAGTAGCCTACTTCAAATTAAAAATATTAACATAAAGATGAAACCCACTTTATGATAAGAATAAGATCAAAAGAATAAGAATTAATATGCATAACAAAAGAATATTAACATACTACATTATACAATGCTTATGATCAAATATTTAAAATTTGTGATTTAAAAGTTAGAAATATCTTGAAATAGAACTTGAATTAGGTTTTTAATAGGCCTATCTACCAATTTAAATCTACTCCACAGACCCCTGTTTCCCTTTAGATGCCCTTCAGGTGTTCACTGAACCCTGTTTGAAAACCATGAATGTAAAATGTATTGTTAATGTTCTGTTATTATGGGTTCGTGTTGAACAGCTGTGTACAAACCTTGTAATTTCACACCACCTGTTGCACATTTTTGCACATAAACATGATTTTGTATGAGGTTGTTTTACAATATCAACATGCCATTTCTTTCTTGCATTAATACTAGTTTTACAAAGATAATAATACAGTTAAATCATTTTTTATATCATTCTCATCAGGGGTTAAAAGCCAAGCTTCCAGGCTTGATGTTGTATTATAGTGCCATCTTCTGTTGAAGTACAGAATTGCACTCTGTATGGGAAGATGGGAGAACATGCACAATATCATATTGTTATATCAATCAATATCAAGGCCTAGAAGCATATTGTCAATATGCATTTACTTTTTAGATATTTAGATATATGTTAAGCGTGTGTATGATGATAATGCATGAGCCAGTGTGTTATTAAGGGGAATAAATTGAATAATTTTACATTTTGTGTTATGACCATTGACAACTCAATCCCAGATACAATACAGAATCCCAGTATCGATATTCATCTGAAAGGTATATTTATTCTATCACTTCTATAAAGGTATTCATTCAAATATTAACCATTTAAATGGTATCCGACTCTTGGTGATTCTATGGGCGATCTCCTGCCACATGTGAGAGACTGTCCATGAATTTTCTTGGCGATGATTTTTCCAGGGTAGCCTATAGGTAACTGTCTTTCCATTCACACCTACAGAAATTCAGTGTCTAAATTCCCCTTTACTGAATGTTTTTGAATTATGGGGAAGACCAGAACACCTAGAGGATACACGCAGATGACTCGTCTCCATACCGGCGTTATCCAGATGGAACTGGATAAATATTGTGAATGTTCTGATCCAATCTAACTTCTGACCTGTAATGTTGCCTGAATCATAATCATACACTGTTCGCTCGTTGGCCAGAGGAGAACTGGCCCCCGACTGAGCCTGGGTTCTCCCAAGGTTTTTTTTCCATTCTGTCACCTGATGGAGTTTTGATTCCTTGCCACTGTTGCCTTGGCTTTTGGCTTGCTTAGTTGGGGACATTTAATAATTCAACAATATTTTTTATCTGCCTTACTTCAGGTGGACGATGACACAATTTTCTTCTAGAAACAAACTTCTTGTATTATTTTCATGTTATCACTGTGAAGCTGCTTTGATACAACCTGTATTGTAAAAAGCGCTATATAAATAAAGGTGACTTGACACAGGGAGAACTTAAACTGGGAACCTTCTTCAAAAAAGGCCACTGTGCCACCCAAATAAAGCTATATGATTAGCTAAATATTTAACTCCCCATTAATTGAAGATATGTCATAATAGCAACACTACTGTATGATACATAACACATAATACAACAAATTCACTGAATTAGCCTCTGTTTTAATGAATAGCATAAATGTCTGATATGTAGGCCTACTTCTAACTCATGGAATTATTGAATAATATCACCACAAAATACAATAAAAGTTCAATTCAAATAATAATAATAACAACACTATTACTAGCATACTGCTCGGGGCCCTCTGTGCCTGCCAATTCTGGGAAGCCATCTTACTCACTTCAAAATAAAAGCATACATTTTTCCCTCCACAAATCTAAAAACATAAATATATCCACAAATCTCTCATTAACAAATAGACACAAACAACTTTGATATTCAACATAATATAATGACATCACTATTTTCCAGAGACACGAAACAAGATCAACCTCAAAACTGTTTCATCTGACTAAACCTCACAAATGTTGCCGTTCAGATTAAATGACAATGTTAAGAAGAGTATATATTCATTAAATATGTTGAGATAATATTTTGTGCCATCTATGATCAAGAGAAAAAAGAAAGATCTGTGTGGGGGGGTGGGGGGGGGGGGGGGTCATCTTTATGTGCATCTCACGTCATTTTACCCTAGAATGATGAGTGAAAATAATCTGCAATTCAGAAAAACACTGCACTCCTGGCAGCAGTTAAAGGGTTCTATAGTGAAGTTAATCATTAATGTGGAGGGCAGTCATAGTCACGGTCATTGCTCTGAAAGTCAAAATCAGACTTTATGCTAACAGAAAGAGGCGAACAAAAAAGGCTACCAAAAGCAGTCAGAAACCTCTTTAAAAGTTTCTTTTCCACCTTTATTCCAGTAAGGTAAGGATTACGTGCACTCACAATATATGTTGAGATATTTAGATATTATTTCTTGCAATTCATCTCTAATAACATATGTTCTTTTTCATATGCTTTTCAAAACAATTGATTTTGCCAATGTCTTTTATTCAGCCTGTTTTGGAAATGTTAAAGAGACCCCCTTATGGCTGCACAGGCCCAATACAACAGCTCATCTGGCTCTGACCCAGTCGGTTGTAAGTAAGAGTCCACCTTTCTTTCAGTACTTTCTATTGCGTCTGACATACTTTAAATGCTTTTTTTTTTACCTTTGTTTATATGACTTTTTTTTTGACGTTTTCAGCAAATGTATTTTGCCTTGTGTTTGTATGAATGGACAGATGAGGAAGGATCAGGTCCATTTGCGGTCATCATTATCCCAAGCTTGCTGGCTCTCAGCACTCTGATTGTTGTGTCTCAGATAATATGGAGCTTTGTTACAAAAAGATCATCAGCTCAGGTTATCACAGGCTCATCTTCAAATGTAAACGGTATGTGAAATAAGGCAACATTGAACTCAAATGTCAGGTGCATAAAGTTCATTTTTAGTTTAATAGCCTGAGTATTTGAGCAAATCATGAGAAATAGTATCTGCTGAATCAACTGTCTTTCAGAAGGGGAGCCTGTACCCTTGGACACAGGCGTCGGGACCCTGCGGCCTACACAGGGAGCTCTGGGTCTATGGGAGATACCTGCTCTGTGCACCCTGGAGGGGGTTGAGCCGCTTCAGATGGGACATTATGGGCCAATCTGCACGGCTCAGCTAAAACAAGACAACACATCTACTGCTGTAGTGATTAAAACTCTTAAAGGTACATTACAACACAAATTCATCATTCTGAAATGCTTCTTCTAAGAATTAAATTAAAAATGATTCTTCATAGTTCTGCTCCGCCATGCTGTTTATTTACATTAGAAGAAATAAGAGTAGAATTTATAGTCACACTGAAAGACTGCAAATGTTGGATATATCTTGTTTCAGACAGGTCAAATCAATCGGAGGCTACAGAATTTGTGGATTTTTGCCTCTTCCTTGCAGCAGTGAGCAAACACAAGCATATAGTGAAGATGTTATACTGTCAGACACGCCGGACGCCCATGTATCTGGTTTTGGAGGCAAGCTTTCCAGGAAACCTCCTGCATTTCCTCTGGAGTCTTCGAGAAGTAAAAACACCTACGTTGACAAAGATATACATGGGTTAAGTCTCTCTCATCACTAATTTTTCTTCTCAACTTAACTCTCTCTAAACAGGACAGATGTGGTGCAGGTGATAACTTCCAAGTGTTTTCAGAGATGTCTGTTTATCTAGCAGCTAAACAGGTAGCAGCAGGTCTGGTGAGTCATTTATGTCCTGTAAACATATACTTAGAGCATAAATCAAGTAAATGACGTTCATTAAAATCATTTGTTCATTTTTACTTAGGACTACATACACTCCTACCATAGAATTATTCATGGGGATGTTGCAGCCCGGAACATGTTGATTGGTTCAGGGCTCTCTGTCAAAGTGTCCGGATTGGATTGGGCTTTTAATAGCCGCCAGATGAGGATGGTGGACAAGGAACAAGAAGTCAATGTGCCTGTAAAATGGCAGGCGCCAGAACGGATAATGAGGCTTCCCATAACAGACAGGAGTGATGTGTGAGTCTATCAGGAAATGTTGAAACCTTAAAAAATACTGCACATTGACCAATGTGCTAATGATTTGATGATTTCTACGTTGTGCTGTCGTACTTTTTCAGATGGTCTTTTGGAATCCTGCTTTATGAGATGATAACCCTGGGTAATATTAATACACCAGTTGTTACTTTGAACTTTTTTATTAAAAAAATAATATGAAGCAAACAAAATAGCAGTCTTATATTTAGCTTCCTTCTCTTTTGAAAGGGTCTCCTCCCTATCCTGACCTGGATCCGTCTGAAGTGCTGCCCAACACTTTAGCCCATTACCGGATGAAAAGACCAGAAAACTGTGGAGCCCCATTGTAAGTCTTTGTATTTTTTTACATAACTAATTGGGCCATGTAAATAGTTGTCTTGCTCCTCTATGACCTGCAAGTAAGAAAACCTGAAAATCTTGTTTAAACAACATAAAAATTAATATTATCTGGCATATCTTGCAGATATGACTTAATAAAGTACTGCTGCATGTGGAACTTCAAGGACCGGCCTGTGTATTCTGCCATTATTCGGCTTCTAGACTCATACAAGTACCTCGCTGACACAAAACCGCTTCGCCCTGAACAACAAATGGACATCTGTGTGTACAGGAGGATAGCAGGACTGCCTCAATGTCAATGAGATCTACACATTCAGAGGATTTCCAATTTATCATTTCTGCAGTGCGTAAAAATAGCACAATAGATTCAGTTCCATTTAAGACTGACGCCAATTTCAGCTAGTTTGTGGTCTCGTCTAGCCATGGCATGACTAGCAGAACGTCACTAGATGTCGCCCTATTTCTCGGAATTGTCAAATATGAACATAAATGAGGATAATATATTATTGCTACTGATGTAAAATCAGAACGTACTTTCAGAATCTTTGTCATTTGAATTTCTGTTTTTGATTAAAGGGATGACTAATGCCATGTTATTTATTTATCTAATGCGACGTTACGACAGTTTATTTGTTTTAGTAACTGTCGCGAGGAGTAGCCTATTAAAAGAGAAATGATAGCCAGTATAGGTGTACTTATTAATGTTTTAAAATATTATTTTTCAGTCTAAGTTCACTACAGTATTAACAAGTAAAAAGGCCTGAGTATTTTTTTCTAGCTGTCTCTGTTTTCAGTGTTTCACCTTCATCTATAAGCTTTTTCTTTTGAACATGTGTTACAACAATTTTCATGTGACTGCCTGCCTATTTTGAATAATAGTGTCTGCTAAATTGATACATGTAAATGTTTTGACAATTCAAGTGAGATTTTACCATTAAAATAACTTAAACAACCTTTTTTCCTGTCACAGGACATCATTTTAAAAGAATGGGTTTAACTTACTTTGAGTAGGCCTACATTTCTAATTACTGCTTTTTTGCTGTTGCACAGCAGTAAAAGTACTGCAGTATTTTGATGGAAATAGATACCATGGTACAAGGGTGTACCATCCAAATCCCTCACAGATAAACCTTTAAAAAACACAGACATTTTCTTTTTAACACCAACTAAATTTTAATAAAAAGTAACCACAAGTGGTGCACAAAACACAAAATAATGCCTCAATACTGTTATGTTGCAGGGTAATAATCTCTCATTGAACCTGTGAACAGAACATAGCAAATCCAATGGAAGATCACTTGCTAAACAAGTAATTACTGATTACTGAGTCAGAAAGCAGGACCCCTTAAAACAGAGGCCAACTGATACAGATAAAACTCATTTATCAAGATTAAACCAACTGCCACATTCTTCATATTTGAGGAATTTGTTTTAAAAGGCCTAGCTAATATTATATGGGACATAAAGTGTTGATCAAAGTCACACATGAACCAGGCACCAGATAAACTACATGAGCCACTACCTTATTCATACTGTAGTGTTTTCTGTTTTATTTTATTTTTACATGAAATGACACAGATCATATGCATAAAATTCCCTTATGGTATTTATTTAAAAAGGGGGAATGTAATCAGAATAAAGAAAGCAAAAAATATGATTATGATTAAGAGTTGAGTTGTCTTTTTCGGATCAGTCTCTTAAACAATAACCACAATTAAAAAAAATAAAATAATAATAAGCATAATTCTACAAGTATAAATTCCACAGCAAATTTGACAATCTCTACTCTGCTTCTTGCCTTTTCAGATTCAAATCAGTCAGGCTGAACTGTGCAACAAACACCACACATAGTGTATTAGAGACCATCTACTGTGTCTGTGTCAACATGACCTTCAAACACATGACAATATGTGTGAAGCAGAGGCAAAGAGCATTTCTCATCCTTAGCGATGAAACAACAGCAGCAATCAAAATGTCCGTACTGTAGGCCTCCTATTGTAGATCATGTAGATTTCATGAAGCTCATCACCTCAAAACAAAAAGTGATTTTTCTGATTTTCTAAATTGGTTTGATTTTTCAGGGGTTCTCTGTCGAATGAGCCTCATAGGCCATTACCCCTTTACACTTTGCAGCTCCAAAGGGTTGTTGGAAACAGTATGTAGGAAACTGACCATAACAAGTAGTAAACACAAGCTGGAGGGAAGGAGGGGCAAAACACCATGGCAATTCCTAAATAGAAAAAAAAAAAAAAATTATGCAATCATTTGGTGAAAATTGGTAAATATTTAAATGTACATGCTAATTTCCCTATTTTTACACTGAACACCCACCTAAAACGAATCTTTAAAAGCAGCAATAATTGGATTACATTTACATCATGTAACCTTTAGTAAATCTCAAAATGAATATTCATTTTAATACAATGTTGTAATGCCGAATTCATTCTTTTGCATTTTATTAATTTAGACAAAATAGTGTAGAACTTTAATTTATTAGCTAGTCATTTATTGTTTATTGGCTTTACCGCCAATGTAGACCACCTTCTTCCAGGCCTGAGACTCCAGTACTCTGTCATGAGGGTAGAAGGTCTGACTGACCATGAAGATAATCATGGCCACTGCTAAGATTCTCAGTACTGCCATATTTCCTCCAGTCAGCAGAGAAACACACACTAGGATGGCAGAGGAGTAGATGCATGGTAGGCCACGGTACATGAACGGGATTCCTGCGGAAAACAGCAGACACATCTCTAACTGACAGCCACTTTTTATAGGGATATATACCGTTCAAAAGTTTAGAAGTTTTTGAAAGAAGTCTTTTATGCTCACCAAGGCTGCAGTTGATCAAAAATACAGTAAAAACAGTAATATTGTGAAATAAATGTTTTCTACTTGTAATTTATTCGTGTGATGGCAAAGCCGAATTTTCAGCAGCCATTACTCCATTCTTCAGTGTCACACAATCCTTCAGAAATCATTCTAACATGCTGATTTAGTGTTCAAACATTTCTTACTATCAATTTAGTGATACTTTTTTTTCAGGATTATTTGAATACAAAGTTCAAAAGAACAGCATTTATTTGAAATAGAAATCCTTTGTAACATTACATGCTTTTACTGTCACTTATGATCAATTTGATGCATCCTTCCTGAATAAAAGTGGTAATTTTTTTTATCATTATAAATGAGTGAGATTTCTCTTGGGTTGGCAAACAGAATAGTTCAGCTAAAGACAAAGGTTGTGTGTTATGTATGTATTGTATGTAAACAATCTTGGTGGAAGTTCCTCACCACTAGAGAAGAAGCAGAGACGAGTAAAGACAGACAGCACATACAACATGCACAGGATGTTATCCAGTAGACTGGGTGTCCTTAAGATGAGAGATGTTGCTATTCCAAAAGTTGTGAAATCAGCAAAATCATCCAACTTTGCACCTGCAGTAAAAAACAAAACAAAAAACATTGTTGCATCTCAAAAACACAACATTCAATGCACAAGACACTGTCCCTACAATAACAGACTGCGGTGCATCTAATAAATTATATACATATACTTTTGAACATCCAGCAGTTAGTTGATCCTGTTATGCGACTCATTGTCGCAGTTGTAAATATGACAGCTTTCTCCTTCCATAAGGGCATCACGATGGCTTTGTTTCCAGGCAGACCGTTAAAGAACGTGACACACGTCTCCCGGAAATCCCCTAGAATTCAACCAATCAGATAATGACTTCGAAACTCCCGAATTGTTTCCCATTTTGTGTGCCTTATGCATCAGACGTTCAGCGAATGGTCTGTGGGCATGACATCTGAGGCTAAGACTAGCTGACATGCCAAAATCCCAAGTTTTGGCTCACAGTTTGTAACAGCCAGGCACTACGGTTCAAAGCGTGATGTGGAAACGAGTTACTGGCATCACAGTTAAGCACTCATCGACTTAAAACTTCCGGGGAAGGGCTCTGAGCTCGGAAATTGGCCTGAACCCAGAGTGCTCCCCATCCTTGACTGGGATAGAAACCAGCCAAGTGTGAGGCGATGGGTTGGTGGAGGGATGCTGTGAAACTGACGCGGGACAGAGGTGAGGGACGGCTATATATACCAGCTTCCTCTTGCGATGCGGATTGGTTGATTACCTGAATGTGCTCCTCCAGAACTTTAAATAAACTTAATTTAGAGTCGCTGAATCGTTTTCTTTTAAAGAACTGTGTGGCAAGCAGGGCGGGGCCGAGAGCCATGGGAATGGAGCGAGGCCGGTTGCATGATTGCTAATGCGCCTCGAATGTCTCAAGGAGGAGCTCTGGGAGGATAAAAGGAGTGACAGCAGTGAAGGATGATAGAGGACCAGGCCTGGACTATTTACATTGTGTTTTGTTATGTTTGTGCAGCAGGCGTCCGTGAGGGGCTGCCGCTTTACTTTCGTTTTGTGTTTGTTTATTTATGAATTAAAGTTATGTGGAACATTCGCCGGTTCCCGCCTCCTTCTTCCCTGAACACTAACCTTGCTACAAACTGATTGACGGAAATGAGTTGGACTTCCCATCACTTGTGCTGACAGTTATTGTGATGCTAATCGATTATTCTGTTGTTGGATTACCAGTCGACCATCCGTTCCATTCCCATTAATGCACTAAACTATTAATTAAACTATTAATACAATCTGAAAAGAGAAACAGAGAAAAATCTTCATGCCAGTCCAAAAAAGCTCATTATCATCATCTATAAACAACATTCAGGAGTTTCTTTATCTAGAGAGGTGGGGGCATGTTTTCACCAGGTTGGAACATTTGAGTGTGTGTCCAAACAAGTGGACTGGTATTCCAATTCCGTGGTCAACAATTTGAGCAATGTCAAATATGTTGGTGGTCCAAAGCATCGGGATAAAACAAACAATCAGAACATGATCCCCCTGAATTAGGCTGCTTCATCACAAACGAACTGTTCAATTGCCATAAAAGGGAGGCAAAACAACAACCATCAGTGAGGTCATGCAGAACAACAGAGCGACAACAGAAAGCAGCTCAAGAGTACAAGTGACTTGGCATTGTGAGGGCATTGCGGAGCTATTTCAGGCAGCTGGGTGGACGTGACCACCTGCACAATCCACTGGTTTCCCACTACAGAGTTGGCAAGGTTTCGTGGTTTGAAAGAGAAAACCTGCTTTTTTTTTCTTTCTTTTTTTGTGTGCGGAAAATCTGCGTACAAACGGTTTCGCGAACAAATCCCGATTCATCAATAACTTTCATTCTTAATTTTCTAAATTTCCGATTTTTTTTTTAAACAAGCTGTGAGCTTCCTCTGCATAAAGATGCAAATACGCTTATGTACAGCTTGCTAATCAGAGGTCTGTAATCTAGGTCTGTATTAAAGGTGTTTATTATTATCGGGGTTCTTGTTACGAGTGCTATTATGCGAGAGCGTCATGTTTGCGTGTGGAAAGCCCTTATATGGACATGGTTTGGGCAAGTTTTATGATTTATAACCTTGGGCATGCGGTCACTCATTTAGAATACTCCAAATTCAATAACGTAAGAATGATGTTAAGAACAAATCCATGTGCGTACGCTTTAGAATCATTTACAATGAACTGTGTTAGAGTTTTCTTTTCACAATATTTCAAATCCCTCAGTTCTCGCCATCTCTGAAAAGTCAAGCCAAAGTCTAATTTTATTATGAGCTCTGTTACAGATTCTTTAGTGTGCTCCATGTCAAACTTTCTCGCTTGTTGTGACAACTAACCTATGCCACTCACACGTTAAAGAAGCTGAAGATACTTTTCTCTATTTACAGATGTGGCGAGAGTGACGTACATAAGCAATGTCCCGCAAAACCATCCCGTCAGGTCTAAAATATAAACACTTATTATAGGTTTACCATAGTGAATCAGGGTAAGACTAAAACACATTCTGGAAGATGTATTGACTCATTTAAATTTATTTCATTTAAATTTATTTCAAGTTACAAATGAATGCATTTTTCAATGAGTTCATTTTAGATGTTGACAGAGTAACAGAAAAATTCAATGTTTATTTATTCATATTTTTTATTTAATTTAGCAGAAGTATACTATAGCAGTGGGGAAAAAAGTTGGAATAAATTATCAATTTAATAATTCAAACATAATAAATGTAAATAAGTAACTTTTTAAATGGACAAATTAACAGATACATTTAAAACCACTTAATTTTAAATTGAAAATAAATTTTAAAATTCGGCATTGTCCTCACTGTGCCTTATGTGCTATTGTATCTGTACTGTACCACACTATTTGCAATTTTTTGTTGACCTGTGTAATCTTTTCTGTCCTTATTCTTACCATTTTAGTTCTTAGTGGGGTTGTAAAATCTAATTAATAGCATATAACATAAAAATGTATGTTTATATAATATCTATGTGTATATATATATATATATATATATATATATATATATATACACACATACACACACACACACATATTATATAAACACAAACTTTTATGTTAGATGCGATTAATCACGATTAATTGATTTTACAGCCCTAGTTCAAGTCCTTTCTAGTGTTTTTAGTAGTTTATATAATTTACTTTAATCTGTGTTTGTCTGGTCCAGTCTTGTAGTCTGGTGTTGTTTTTATGTAGAACTGTCGTCCTGGAGAAACGTTGTTTCGTTTCCTTGTGTACACTGTATCTCAATGTATTTCAAAATGTTGTTAAATTAAAGAACAAAATGTAATGCTTATTTTAAATTGCTTTTCAAAATATAATTTTACAACTGCTTTTCTTTACATGTTTATGTTTGAATTATTAAATTGATCATTTATTCCTTCCCTTCCTTTTATTTCTTGATAAGGGGACTGAAGATAAAAGCATCTAAAGCAACAAGACTCACTCCTGGCCCCACTCACTTGAACTTAAGAACACTCAACACTACTCACCCAGTGCAGAACAAGCATTCAGTTGCCTAGCAACCGCTCCATCTGCTAAATCCAGCAGGTAACCGATCAGAACCAGCCAGCAGGCCGCATGGTGATGGCTGTGAATAACAGGGACATAAAGAAAGAAAGCACAAAACTACAATTAAGTCAAAGAGATTTAACTGAATTTAAGCTCAAACTTTTTTTTGGCTGCTGGCTGAAATCCCTTTAAACTTCCTTCTACTGTAACAACATTCCCATAATGAATTGTCACCAAGTCAAATAGATTTATCTCAAAATGAAAAAAGTTATATTTCTTTATGCATTTGATTTTCGCTGTGAAGTACAAAATCAAAAGCATGAATGCATACCCGTTGAGACTGCAGAGGATTGAGGCCATGCCCATGAGCATGTTGGCAACAGAAAGAGAGTTGGCAGCATTTTTCCGGGCAAACTCCTTTAGATGCACCCAGTTAGCCTGTTCGTTTAGAAGCAGTTTGTTAGCGTCCTGGAAAAAGGCTACCAAAAAAAACAACAACAAAAAACATGAGCAATTACACAACAGCGAGTTCAGTGCATGTTTGAAGAGCTCTCAGTTACATAAAAATATATTAAAGTGTGAATTGAATGAATTCCACTGAAGTCAACTAGTTAAACTTTATTTAAAATATCTGTTAACTAACTATAAAGTGCAAGTTCTTCCATAGTCTAAACATGTGATTCTTGTAATTATTCACTTATCCTCTCTAAAACATATTAACATAGTATTATTAACATTAAACAGAGGACCACAAATGATTCTCTCACTTATTGCAAAAAGTGTTAAAGCCATATTTCTTAAAAAACAACCTTTGTATTCACATTATTATGTGAATAATAAAACAATATAATTATGTAATAAATAGTATAATTATATGAAATAATACGCTTGATGCGAAAAAAATGCGTTTGATCTGAGTTTGAGTTGGTTTTGTGTTCTGTAGCCTGTGTATGTGTTTGTCACCCTGGTTTTTCATTGATTGATTATTATGCACTGCACCTGTTTCTCGTTTCGCTCATTGGTTTGTGTTAGTATATATTGAGTCTGTTTTCAATTAGTCTTGGTTCCATCTTCGTTGCTATTAGCAGGTTGTTCTGTTCATGGTTTTTGATTCCAGTATATGCTGAGTACCTTTGTTATTTTTTAATAAATAACAAACTGCAGAAAATAGATCCTGATCTCCTCGGCATCAAACCCAGCAGAATGGATCTAGCGGCAGTACAAATCCTTATCCTTTCACAGGGGGATTGTTCCCTCGAGGAACAGACACAGGACTTCTTAGACCTGCTCCATCTCATCCACTATGGCGGCGCCAGCCTGTGTTTTTCCGGGCAGGGCTCAGTGCGAAGAAGAAAGCAATTTTCAAGAATTTTTCTAACTGGGTGCCACTTCAGTGTGGATGCCCGACCCGTTCACCTTTTGTGAGTAAGAGGAGGATTACTCTCACCAGTGCCTAAAATCCACTCAATCCCTTAGGAGTGTACTCTTGATGCCACAGTCGTCTCGAAGTTCAAGGTGGAAAAGGAGTCTGATCAGGTGTGAGAGCCGATCCCTGTGTCCGTGCCTGTGGTGGTATTAATAGAGGGCATTGAGTGGAGCCCCGCAACATACTCCAGGCACTGTGATGAATTTGACACCTAGTGTTACTATTGAAGAATGTGAAGGCATCAGTTTCAAGTCTTCTTTCTAAAGCACTGTACAATATTTGTCATTTCAATTAGACAGTAATTATGACATTCTAAACGATATGCTGAGGTATAAAAGACATTTACCCGAAAAAATAAACTCTTGCTCACTTGATTGATATGATCAAAACAACCAAATGACTGTTCATCCCTGTGCACTAAAACCACAAAGCACTATTACCATAGCAAATTACACATTTTCAACAGAAAATAGAAAGATGTTTTGGGAAAGAACATTACTGGAGTTATGATTCATCATCACATGATCTACAACCATTAGCCCTCTAAAACTGAAGCTTTGCAAAAGGGTTTTGTTTACACTGCAATTTGTTCAAATATTTGAAAACATTTTTTTTTTTTTTATCTTTAAACCTTTAAGTTACTTTTGGCGCGCACCCGTGTTCGATTGACGTTAGAGTTTGGTTCATTTGGATAAGAGAATCTGGTGTTGCTTTGACTACAGTGTTTAGAAAGTGGTCAGCAATCAGTTGATTGAGGGAGTATTAAAAATGGCTGACATAACCATTTTTACAACGAGACGCCTGTCTTTGTAAAAGAAGTTATGCTTGCTCACACCCACAACAACTGGCAATCATGCAGTGCACTGCAGATTCAAATATTAAAGCAGCATTCTCAAATCATTTACTCATCAACCATTTTTTGTACTGCATTCAAGCACCCATTACAATTTCATCCAGCAACTGAAATTGTTACACTATACATATGATAGTTATAAAGGTAAAAGAATATTAACAGTGAGAGTTCTCAAAATCGGTAAATAAGCAAGAAAGACTTGTTAGAATTCTAGTGCTTTTCTTTAAGTGTGACCAAGTCGGTTTGCCACTGAAACACTGCTGTGATTTTCAATGAAGTCACACAAAGAAGTCCTTGAGTTGGAGCAAATCAGTGGGCATAAAATCTAAATGAACATCTGAAGTGGTTGAATTTGTGTTTTCCTAGAGAAATTCACATCATCGTTTGTCACATTTTAGTCATTATGCTATCAAAGATCTTCATTGGAATGCTTGTGGAGACTCAAGCCCCCCATTTGCAAATTTGATATGACAAAAGACACAAACATTTGTATGCATGACAAGGTCTTTGCAGGTCAACTTTCATTTTTTGGCATGTGCTGCTTTTCTAGGTGAGGGAAGCATGCAAGAACACATGCACATTACGTGTAAATATTTTAAGCTCATAATACAAAAAATCTTGCCTATAGCATTCACAAAGACATTGAAAAGGTTTAAAGGTGAAGTGTGTAATTTTTGTGTCACTAGCAAACAAACACATCCCCCGTCTGCCACCGGTCAGCACAACAGATAGCTCTGCTTTAAACCCACACCATTGGTTGAGCCAATGTTGCTACGTCTGTCTGCTCAGACCAACAGAGTGTTGTTTTGATAGTGCCACAAAACCACAGTGTTCACATTTTCAGGGGGAATCAGAAAAAAAAAGGCTTATTATAGCCGATTTCTGCATATTAAACTAGGATTAAATCACACACTTCACCTTTAAGGAAGGGTTCCTACTATTGTGTTTTGTAACCTGAACTTGATGTGATTCCAAAGCCAGTCGATTTCAAGCGACTCTTCATCTGAAAGAAAACAGTCAATGAGACACAGCACATGCCAACACACAGAATTCACCATAGAGCTTGATGTTTGTTTGTATATTAAGGCAATTGGACCTCATTTCAAATTATTTCTGTAAAGGTTATTAAAGAATGTGAGATATCCATTGAGAATAACATAACCTTAAATGAATAAAGCTAATTAAAGTAAGTAAATATGAATTATATTGGTAGTGAAGACTGGAGTAATGGCTGCTGAAAATTCAGCTTTGTCATCACTGGAATACATCAAATTTTAAATCATATATTGAAATAGAAAATTATTTTAAATCACAATAATATTTCCTTATATTACTTTTTTACTGTGTGTTTAATTAAATAAATGCAGCCTTGGTGAGCATTAGAGACTTACCAACCCCAAACTTTTAAACAGTAGTGTATAGACCTATTATAGTTCAACCAAATAGTGTAAGTGTAGTGTAAAACTTTTAAGTTTTACAGTAAATGTATATGCAAAAAGATTTTAATTAAAATCAGCATGGTCTATTATATGTGAAAAATAATTATATAAGTTTCAAAAACAAAATGCCTCTCATAAAATGATGCAAAATACACTAGTATTGGACTAACTAATGAAATGTGGCATGACAGTGTTGTAGTAAACTATGAAAGTAACACCTTCTTATATTAAAGTGCCCCTATTATGCTTTTTCGAATATTACATTTTAATGTATTGTGTGAAAGTAAAAGGTCTGCAAAGTTTTAAAGATCAAAGTGCATGACAAATAAAGTTATCATCTCCCAAAAGAAAGAATCGATTCTGAACTGCCAAAACGAGTCATCAGTAAATCCAGTCTCACTTCCATAACATATATTTACGTACCTGTATGTAACAAATTTGCATAAAGCCATCCTATGGTCTTTATTGGATGCCCGCGAACAATTTCTACTTTGACCCGCCCTCAAACACTGTAGTTGGTTTGTGTTGTCGACATGTCGAGAAGATGCTGTTTACTGTGCTGCTAAAGCACTCTCTTTGTAAACACTTTCAAAGGATGAGGATGTGAAGAGTCAGGGGTTAAAATTACCATAGCAGTATAGCCTTTTGTTGTGTTCCTGTCATTTTACTGACGACTGCTTCTCAAATCTCGGCGAGGTCAACTCGGGATTTGCAAAACGCCAACTTGCTCCTCTTAAATCACAACCTGCAAGTATGATTAATTATTGATGTATATATTTCCTACTGAGTGTTCAAAATACGTAGTTTTGTGTTTTATATTGTGTACACCCAGTGCACCAGCTAACCAGATAACTCAAGTTAATGGGTCTCATTCACTAATAATTGGATTATTTCGTATTTGATTATTTCGAACTTCTCACGAAAAATCTCAGCCTAATTCACAACACGTGCATACGTACATGATTTGTTTTTAATCTCATTCTAATGTTAGTGAATTTGGAGTCTTCTAAATGAGTGACCACGTGCACTCGGTTAGTCATTTGCATAAAACACACCCAACCTATCTCCATATAAGGGGTTTCCGCACAACCACTCCTTTACAGCCTTTAGACACTCTCATCAAACATATGCCGCTCTCTCAACAGATCCTCGAGCCAAGTGTGTCATTCATAAAACCAGTTCAAATACAATAAACACCTTTTATACAGACCCAGATTACAGACCTCTTATTAGCCAGCTGTACATAAGCATGAATCTGCATTATTCAGAGAAACCTCACAGCTTAAGCTTTAATGCAGCTTTTCTTACTCTTTCACTGTATATGATGTAAAATATATTTAAGATGGAAGTAAATTGTATTATTTATTATAAATATTATAATTTATAATTATTGTATTATTTTATATAATATAATAATTGTGTTAAGATGAAATATAACTTCTTAACACTATTATAAGGCCGCACAGAGAAAGTGCTTTTTGCGTACATGTGGTTTCAGTTGTTCCTTCCTTTTTTCGCACATTTAGAATAGATTTTAGTACAAATGTTTTTGGTGAATGATTTGTTCGTGAAAACATTCGTACACAGATTTCACACACAAATTTGTGCGTATGCATGCTTAGTGAATGAGACCCACTGTCTAACTGAAATATTTCTGCTTTTCAGCTGTGGGCCCACTATTAGCCTACCTAAAATTGTGTCAATTAATGCACATTAATAATTCTTACTACCTTGAGTAATGATAAAGGATGAAGCGAGATTTTGGTTTACAAACTGTAATGTTACATCAGTCATTTACGTTAGTGCTCGGCTAACGTATGTACCGTTATTGACACAGTTAATGATACAGTTCCCACATGTGCACTTAGAAATATACACATCGGCTTGTTGATGGAAATACACTTGTTAATACTGACTTAGTAAAAAACTTACCACTGAGAAACGTCATGCTCAAGTCGTTCTTTTGAAGGAGGTTTGGGTTGATCAACTAGTTCTTCCAGTGTTTCATCATCTGACTCAGGCTCAAATTGATAAGGTAAAATCAATGCCATTAATACTGTGCTTACAGTCTGTACAATCGCTGAGGATTGAGGAAGCCTCCGGAGTTGAAATTCAAATATGGTAAGGGGGGCTTCGTTTCTGACATGTGCTATAAATTGTAGACAAATGACAACAAGACTGGGCCATCTGACCAATCAGAACAGAGTAGGCTCGTGGTTTCGAGAGACTGAATCTTCGAACAAATTGTTTCAAACTATTTGAGAAATTAGGTGATGTGCAATATTATGAGAATATGAAAGTGTTTTCTGGACTTGGATGGATGTAAACCTATTGTAGGAGACCTTAAAAACAAAATTAGGAACCTTTAAAACAGCAAAATAGGGGGACTTTAAGATAAGTGAGATACAGAATTATAGTAGCTTCCTGTTTACGGACCTTTAGATAATATGTAATTTGAGCTTTCGTACTATCTATCCAGTTTTACCTAGAGAAAGAACTAGAAATTAGTCCCAAGTCTAAAGGGATGAGTTGAAGCAGGGAAAATATCTCCTTTTTGTTGTGGCAGTGTAATCTTAACAATTGACAGAAATACCAAAGAGCATATCAACTAACTTTTGCTTAAAGACCCCACGTAGCCATTACCAAAGGTCTTCTTGCATGCTTAGTTCCTCTGCTCCATGTGACAGAAGCCCGGATTGACAGGATTAACGTTTATCTGTTTCTAGAACACTAATACGGTCTAATACTGTCCGTAGGTAGCACATCACTTCAGTTGCGTAACTGAACCTCAGTGTAAATAGGCAGGTTAAAAAGTATAAGCAACTTCAGGACAAATACTACCATAAGTCATGCAAAATAATAGCCCATATGTTTTTAAATAACAGACATATGAGCCTTCTACTAAGAAACTACTATTGGTGATGAATAAATAGTCAAAAATGGTCTTAAATCCAGCTCAAGATACTGAGTTAAAGTGCAACCTAGCCTCTAAAGCTCCAGAGCTGTCCTCAGCATATGAGGAAGTCCAGGCCTGTGCCAACCATTACTGACTGCAGAAACACAGCTAGTGCCACTCATTATTAACAATCCCAAACATAACAAACAGCCATATTCTTAGCTGTGCAGGGAGCAGAAATGACATGTACCACTGTTTTACATATACGGATCGATTAATCTACATACCAGATGTAGGAGTCAGAAGGATCATGATGGTCTCCAAATTTCTCCAAGTCAAACAGCACTGCAACTAAACCACATAAGAAAAGCAGCTTTAACATATGGCAATAAGAAGAATAACATAATATCATGGATTACAGCAAAAAACAGAGTGTATTGTGCGCTTTCAAGTCTTGCCTCACAGGTAGACCAGCCCACCAAGACACACCACTGTATTATGTAATATTGTAACATGGTGGGGTTTTTTTGTGCCAATTGCACTCTTAAAGACCCCCACTTAAGGCAAGAACAACCATTGTTTTTGTTGCGCTGGTCAATTTAGATATATTTGGGCTAATTCTATAACATGTCTTCTTTCAGACTTGAGGAAAGAAAACATCTAAGACACATTTAATTGTTTTTATTTTATTACTTTATCTATTTGCATCTGTAGATTTTAATTACAATACATATCTTTAAAACCTATTTTTCCCCTCATGCACTGAGCCAAAATTCTCCACTTCAATACCACTTACATACAAAAAATCTATATATCTAAATAGGTTTTTACATAAGGTTTGTTCGTTAAGTAACAAATGTCCACTAAAGGCAAGTTGAAATGAGAACCCATGTGCAGTTTATTTGAAATAAAACATGAACAAAATACAAAATAAACAAAGACCTGACTTGAATCATGAGTATGGACAAAACAAACTCACCAACAGCGGGTTAAAAAGACAAAGCTAGACAAGAGGCAATGATAACATGAGGGCTGTACTGTATGTACACAAAGGCTAATGACTCAAGACACACCTGAACACAATGAACCAATTAGAACTTGACACATGAACCAAGGGAACCAATCAAAACAGGCGAGTGAAGAGAAAAAGGACCTGGAACATGGCCTTGATCGTGGAACCGTGTCGGGCCTGGGCCATGGAGCAGTGGCTGAGACCAAGGACCGTGGAGCAGTGGCGGACCCTAATCATGGAGCAGAGGCGGGCCTGGATCCGTAGACCACCAAGGTGAAGCTGATGGTGCAAGAGACCAGGACAGAGTCGGCAGTTGCACAGAAGACCCCCACAGATCAGGAGGCCATGGCAGAGCAGAGACATTGACAACCCACCTGGGCGTGACAGAGCAGACATGGACAGACAGACTCCATGGCATGGGGCAGTTTGTTCATGGACAACCTCCATGGCTGTAACAGTGCAGGCAGAGAGTTTGGCAACAGCCTCCATGCCCGTGACATGACAGGCAGAATGGCAGATAGTTCGAGAACGGCCTCCGTGGCCATAGCATGGGGCTTAGACAGTTCACAGGTGCTCACCACCACCTCTGGAGGAGCTGTAGCGGTCGTTGGCGCCCTCTGGAGAAGCTGTATGCGGCCCACACACAATGATGGCGGCGGCCATTACGAAGCACCGTGGATAGTGGGATGACCTTAAGGACCACCGGACTTGGGACCCCTGGACTAGGAACCACCAGAGTCATGGTTGATAAATTCAATGTAGAACCAAGCTCTGTATGCACCGGAGCTTGGGTACTATAGCCCTGCACCCAAAAAAATTCTGGGGAAATCTGAGCAGTCATGATGTGAGGGGGCTGTGGCATGGCAGCCATGACGTGAAAGGGCTCTGACGTTGCGGCAATGACGTCTAGAGACTGTCCAGGTCATGGTGTGGTGGCCATGACCTGGAGAGGCTCTGGCATGGCGGCCATGACGGCTGGAGACTCTGCAAGAGACCAGGGCAGAGCCGGTGGAGCTAGAGACCAGGATGCAGCTCACAGCTGCACAGAAAACTGCCGTAGCAGGGCAGAAGTCTCACACAGAAA